CAGTTTAAATAATAGGTTACATGCCTACAATAATGTATAAATTTCAATATTACCAAAGAATAGAATATTATTGATACATTAATGCATGATATAATAGTGGTACTATTTTTGGAAAAATCATACTAAGGATTTACATTTTTTTTTAAATGTTGATATTTATATGTTCAACGTGTTGGTGCAAATAATAATTTACCTATCTTACTTACTTTTTTTGTAATTGTAAATAAATAGTAAGTAGAATTAGTAAATTCAGATTTCACCAACACATGAGGCATAAAAATATATATGAATGCAGTGGCGGATCCAGGGCTTAATTTTGGGAGGGGCATGGGGGGCTCAAAAGTATATGAAAGTTCCAAAATTGGCTAAACACAGTGTAAAACAAAGGAAAACTACGGTTATTGGGGGGGGGGGCAAATGCCCCCTTTTCCATCCCCCTGGATCCACCACTGTATGAATGTAATAATTTTCTTTGTTCATGTATATTAATATAATATAAAAAAACTTTGGAGTTTCAATTACTATATTAAATTTGTAGTTATTTGTAGTTTTAATGATACATAAAATGAAAATACTTCCATCACTTACATTAATTGAACTAATAACCAAAATAATATTTACTTACCTATATATTATATAATATACCTATAGGTACATTATTACATTCTGCCCCCCCTGCCAGCAAGGTCTGCGCACGCCTATGGTCGGTCTGCACAGCCTGCGAATCCGGTTTGATTAAATCAAAAATAACGCGAGTATCGGCGGCGCAAACAATTAGGAGTTTAAAATTTTGATCTCTCGAATGCACGAAATAGATTCACTTTCCCATCGAACAGGGTACTATTGAAGAACATCAAAGCAGTTTTACTGTCCCACACGGCGATGACACAAAAAAAAAAAAACACACACATAATTTTAAAATCAATAAGTTCATCGCTCCTCTCAGAATCTAAAATATATACCTAGTGCACCCGAGCAAAACTATTGGATTTAAATGAGACTCAATTCGTCTTGTGCGCCTGCTAAAACTTAATGGAATGACGTCAATGCGGCACCGAGATAATGAACCATGTAAATTGTAATTGATATTATGGTCGGTGCCATAGCTAGATACTATTGTGTGCCCCGGTGCAAATTGGTGTAGGTGCTCCATTAATAGTGTACATCATTTAAAGTGTAACATGTATTAGAATAAATATATGAAGACAAACAAATTTACAGAAGTTTTATATAATTTAATGTAATATCAAAGAATTTTAGTAAGTTAACATCTAAAACGTTATGAGGTATATTATAAATTTATAACAATAACTAGATTATATTAGGTAATAATAGGTATTGACTATTTAAAATTATTAGATCACTTATGATAATGATTATATTATATTACATATTTACATTCGTATACTATAATAATAATAATAATAATAATAATAATAAAAAAAAATTATCGAAATTATATTTTTCATAAGTCAGAAATTAGTATTATTAATACTAATTGTATTACCTACCTACCTTATTTGAATATTAGTGTTAGATTTTAAAATTTTTTTTTCTTGCTTTTTGATTTGAGAAATTGTTAATTATTTGGTCAATATTTAGTTCTTCGCTGAGCTCTCTTTCTATATTTAAAATTTAAATATTATTGATTCTTTCTTGAGAAACTGTATTTCTTAAATAATTTTTCACAAGTTTCAATTTAGAAAATGATCGTTCGGCTGAAAATTACAGGTATAGTTAAAAATATGGAGCATGCAGTAATAATATCTGGAAAGCTACTTGAAAGATCATTTTCTATTATGTAATTTACCATACAAATTTATACCATACCATAAAAATTTACCAATATACCATAGGCTGTATATTCCATGCGTATTAAGGAATGAATGACAACGACGCGTAGTCGACAAATCACAAATGTTATGTTTATGGTTTATCTGATCTGTTATAGTCTATAGACACACTGTTCAACACAACAATCTATAAAGACACGTTTTGAAATAGGTAATCGCGATAACGTGATTTACGTAAGCCGAAACTGATGGAGTCGCTCGCGGAAATATCATAAGTTTCCGCGAACTCGCGTCTCATGCTAACGACACTATAGGTAATATAGTTACATATTATTATGTAACTATTACCGTCTACGTCTATGCGTCCATCAAGATAATAAATTAAAAGGCCTTTATTCATCATCTCACAATAGTATTTAATATATTTTATAAAATAATTTTCTTTTTTCTTTGTTTATCACATATCACATAATCGGTAAGGGCGTAGGGTAGGGCCCTTTCAAGATCAAGTGCCCCGGTGCATTGTACCGCCTGCACCGGCGGTTTCTACGGCACTTTTCTACGGTCCAGACATCCCGGTGCATTATTAATTTTCACATCGGTTTAGTCTCGCGAATTTCCATAATATATATGCGACAGTCAAAAACGGTAAAACACCTACATAGCGTGCACTCTGTAAGCGCAAACGACAAGATAGCCGGGGGGAATCGTGATTCCGCTAGAGCGCGCTGCAAACAGCGATCGGGGCCGGTCGACGAGAATTCCTGTTGCCGGAATGTAATCACTGTTATGGTAGGTCGTTGTTATGGGTTGTGTGTGACGCGAACGGTATCACTGTTGTTGTCGATGTTTTTGTTTTTGTTGTTGTCATTATTGTTGCTGTTGCCGTCCAAAACAATAATACTGAACTTACCACATTTTAAAACCGCCGATCGACAGCAAGGAAACCGGCTTGGCCCTTATCGCATATTGCCCGGCTCCTCACGACTCGTGTAATAATTTGCAATATTATCAGACGTGTCGAAGTTCCGTGGGGCCTCGACCTACTCGCGGCGATAGATCGGATCACGGACACGATAATATTATAGATGACTGATCACAACATGGTTGGCGGCTGTGCGGGCTGATATCGATCGTATCGGATCATTTTCGAGCGTTCAACAAGTTAATCGTCCGGTATACAAGCGACACGTACTGACCGGTATGGGACTCAGGCTTCGATGCGAGACGGTACGTATCAAATTTTTCTTCTTGAAAATCCAGATTATTTCGATTTTTTTTCTCTTGTTATTTTCTCGTAGGTGCTCCGGCAACATATTAATCATTGTCGTCTGTTGTCGATAAGTGTTTCTATTTTCTATGTCATTATTCTAATATTTATTGTACTGTTATACTGCACAGTGCACAGCCGTCCAAAACAATAATATTGGACTTACCACATTTTAAAACCGCCGATCGACAGCAAGGAAACCGGCTTGGCCCATATCGCATATTGCCCGGCTTCCCGCGACTCGTGTAATAATTTGCAATATTATCAGACGTGGGGTCTCGACGTACTCGCGGCGGATTGATTGGATCACGGACACGATAATATTATAGATGACTGATCACAACATTGTTGGCGGGTGTGCGGGTGTGATATCGATCGTATCGGATCAATTTCGAGCGTTCAACAAGTTAAACGTCCGGTATACAAGCGACACGTACTGACCGGTATAGGACTCAGGCTTCGATGCAAGACGGTACGTATCAAATTTTTCTTCTTGAAAATCCAGATTATTTCGGTGTTTTTCGCTTGTTATTTTCTCGTAGGTGCTCCGGCAACATATTAATCATTGTCGTCTGTTGTCGATAAGTGTTTCTATTTTCTATGTCATTATTCTAATATTTATTGTAGGTACTGTTTTACTGCACAGCCTGGTGCTATACATATTGTCATTACATTGTTCAGTTCAAATTGTATAACTACCTATATTAAATTGTGCTGTATCATTGTCAGGTGCCATTGTTTCTAGTATTAAAACAAATACAGTCCTCTTATTTATCAGATCTAAATTGTTATATTAATTTAATTAGTGTAACCAGTTACTTTCAATTCAGAAAAACAGGCAAGCCTATATTATTATTATTGCAGGCTGTATCAATATTTACATTTTAAATTTACAATATAAACGATTCATCTATCAAGCAATACTTGTGTTGAAGATTCAGAATTACACGCAATTAACAAATCTATAATACATTTTTGCATAATATAAAATAAAATACCTATTCTACTATATTGGGTTTATAGACATGATAATTATAACATGTTTTAATAATTATACAAATTAATCAATAATATTAAATGTATAGTAATTTATTATAATATTATCACAACAAAAACGCTGTTAACTTAGTGTAAACAATGGCTACATTTAAAATCAACAGTAGTTTACTAGATATTTAAGCACTATAAATATGTGAATAAATATTATAACTTATAAGTTAATTAAATCAAAGTACAAGATTGATAAATTACTTAATAGAATGAAATATAATCAATAAATGAAAATTAGGTTTAGTTGTTCAAAGGTATCAAGAAATTTCTATCACACAAACTCTTATAGAATTGGGTATATTACATATCATCTGATATTAATAGTAGATTACCGATCCAAACATTGGAAAACAATTTATTCAGACATAATATCTTTCAGAACCAGTTTATATGTAATATATTTAGAAATATAAATTTATCTGTGTATTAATATTAAAGAAGTTACATTTTCACTGATACAGGTTCTCCATTCATCATCAGTCGATGGAAAGTCAATAGAATTAATAATTGAACGAAGAATGGCTGTGACATTTACTCCTAAAATATTATGTCAGTTTTCATATTATGACCGTGGGAATAAAAACATTAATTTGAAAAATAGATCGGTAATAAAATAATATTTTGTGTAAAACATATATTACAGCTGTAATTTTTATTTTTATATTATTTTTAATAAAGTTATTGTTTTTATTTTTTAGTCTGTGAAAACCTTAAACAAATGTTCTATGCTTGGCAACATATCAAATAAAATTTAACAAGTTATTAAGTATGTCTTCATTCAGTCACCTTTTAAAATAAGACGGTGAAATAAGTGTTTTAATGGGTTCTTCTTCTTCTAGGGTCTACTACTTTTCAAGAATCTTCGCAACTGTCACTAAATCATTTTAATGGATTCTAGTTATTCTAATATATTAAAGGTATGACTAATTTCTTCAATATTTTTAATACATTTTTAACGTAAATATTTTGCAAATAAAGTGTATTACTTTTTAATAAACCTATAAACTAATGGACAGCGTTAGAGAGAGAAGTCAAGGGTACGATATAGAGTGAGCGAGAAAAGAAACAAAGTAGTAAAAATATGTACCTATACAGTTCCTTATGTGGGCTCCTTCACTACTTAATGTTCTTTCTCTTTCAGTTATGTGGTTATATGATCGCCCAGCATTGATAGCAGGGCGGAGTGGAATACGCTGTCCATTAGTTTATAGGTCCATGGTATGAGACTAGATATTCATTTAAAATATTTTATACTGTATAATTTTTTATTGAGTGGATACTACCCATGCATTTGTTGTGTACGTCTTAGACACATACGGCATGGCTAATTTTCGTTCACTAGTTTCGATAGTGTGCTGTTAGTTTTGATATTAGAATGAATTGACCTATCAAACTTTTAGGTAAAAACATTGCCTGTGCTCAAGCGTGGGCTTTTTCAGTATTTTAATTTTCAAACGAGATGAGAATTTTTTTTTTTGATATTTCACATACCCATTTATTGCATTTATATGCTTAAGCACAGAAAATGTTCTTAGCTAACAGTTTGTATTAGGTTAATTCGCTCTATGTCAAAACTTAAAGTACACTATTGAAACTAATAAACCAAAATTTGCCATGTCATATGTTTGTAAGGCGGAGATAACCAACGCATGGATAGTGTCTTCTTAATTGTAATATATTTTAGTATATGAAATATAACAGTACTTAATAATTTCCTTAAAATCTTTCCTTTATCGTATTTATTTTGTTTTTGTTAATATAATATATTAACATGATATTATATTATTATATTATTATATACTATTCCACTATTGTATATATAATTACATCCACTTGTCCACCTTCTTTATTTAATTTGATCAAGAATATGTATTTTGTTATTTAACTTATAATTTTCTATTTGTACTTATGAGTTACCTACTGGATTTTCCGATAAGTTATCAAAATTAACATTGAAATCTTGAAATAATTGATTTTAATAATCATAGAATTAGGTATAATGAACTTCGATGAATTCAGAAAATGAATAATTGTGATATTTATTGTATTTTGACGGTTTAAATAAAACGATTTCAAAGCCACTTGTTTACCTACTATTTTTTCTATGAACGTCAATAAAATTGTATTTATTGGGTAATAAAGCTTGAATACTTAATACAAGGCTCCTAATATATTGCTACAATAACAGTTGAAAAATATAAAAATCCAGTCACAAATTTTTTTTTAAGCATTTAAAGTTAGAATTTTGACAAAATACAAAAAGATCACGAAAATTAGCAAATTATTTTGAGTTGAGAATTCATTAAAATTTTAATTTTAAATGTTTTAGTTAAATATAATACAAGATTACTCATAAGTTTGTCTACCTTTATCAAAAACAAAATGTCTACAAGCATATCAAATTAAATTTCTATGACTGTTTGAAGTTCATATTTTTACAAGATTGGATATTCACTCGATTTCTCATGTAGCTATTTTGTTATTTTGTTGTTCAAAATGAATTACTGTAGAAACATGGAAATTTTACTGAATGTTTATATTTTCATTTTACAAACACCATAACATTTTGAAAATATTTTGACCTTTTTTGAGCTATTTAAGGACTTTATCAGTTTCCAATTTGATTAGTCTTTTTTTTCTATGAATGCCAATAAAACTTTATTTGTTGGGACGTATAACAATAAGTTACTTACGGTATTCGATGACTCTCCTTTATTCTAACCAATTATTTATTTAAGTTTTGCAATTTTAGAGTTAAAAGATTTAGCATCTAAAAAATTATGCTTTCTGTTGAAATGTAATACAATTTGTAATTTATGTTAAAATATGGATTGAAATACCTTAACATTTAAAGAAATATGCATTTATATGCAATACAAATACGCCGATTAACTAAAGAAAAAAAATAAATGTACATTCATATTTTTAAAAGTTTTATTTTTAATCATTTTAATAGTATAATAATATCAGTATAGGAATATCATAATGTATTATGCCCAATAACATAGAAAAACGCAATATTATGCCAAATGAGCAAAAAAACCTTTAAATATACAAAAATATGCAAAATAAAACTACACATACTTAACCATGTACTTTGAAATTGATTTCTATGTCATTATCTACCGACTATCATTACCAGGGCTCGTAAGTTCATGCATCTGCATGTTTTTTTTGCCACACAGGAAAACATGCTAACTGAGATACAAATCCGTTTCATAAGAATAGTAATAATAATATGAAGTTTGATAGTGCATGTTTTTGCATGTTTTGGGTGTAAAGTCATATTTGGCATATAGTTGATTTTTTACAGTCGTTAGTGCATATTATTTCATAAAAATATTTTTAGACAAATATTTCAAAAGTTTCTTCCGATTTTTGATATCTTGTTCCAATCGTCCAATATCGCATGGTAAATTATAACGGTTTTTTTAATTTTTTATTGAGTAATTATTTATCTAATTAATAAAAATATCGAAAATCAGGTTTCTTAGGATTGTAAAAAAAGTTCTACTTTACAATTTTTATAATAGGTATTTTTACTGTAAACTACTTCAATAAGCCGTATTACTTGAATTACGAAACCATGGTTTTATGCCATATTTTGTCTACTAATTGTCTATTTGCGCCCTCTTGTTGGAAAACATAAAAAAACACTTATAAAATATATATTACTAAATTATCTCTAAATGAAAAATCTAATATTTCATTCCAAATGTTTTCATTGTTGGTGCTGAATAAGAGTGTAAACAAATTAACAAAATTGACTACCTAATTAAAATTTATGAAGATGACAAAGCTATTTGAACTTCACAAGTATTAATTTTATTTTTTATTTTATTAATTTTGACTGTTAAATATATAAAAATTAAAAGGAATAAAATACTTTTAAAATGTATGGATTTATTCTTATTATTTTAAAATTTGGTCATGTTTTTTTTTACATAATGCATATTTTGAGTGTATAATTTAAAAATGTTAATGCATATAAATGCATATTTTTGAACTTTTAAGTGCATATTTTAATGCATATTTTGACAATTTTTAGTGCATGAATGCATGCTTATTTATGCATTTTTTAGTGCATGAAGATACGAGCCCTGATCATTACATACTACTTATCAAGATTAATATGCATGGACTTACTAGGTCTGGTTAAGATAATAAATGGTATCGTTACATAAAATAACTGAAATAATATTTGTAAATATTAAATTATAATTATTGTCAGTGGTATAAAATCTAATATCACGGCTGAGGATCGGATGCAATTGGAAAAACCTTATATTTATTTTATATAATAATCTTTATTGTCATTGCATTACTTAGGGATGTCAACCTTCCAAAGTTCCACCAATTTTTAACCTACCAACAAAAGTGCACAAACGTACATGCGGCGACTACTGTTACGTTGATAACTTGATCGATTACAACCATGATCACGTGAAATGTAAGTATACTTCAGTAGATAATGATAATAATATATCGAAATTTCTTAATATTGTTTTATTATCCGATTATTACGATTTCAGTTAGCCACATCTATCACATATTATACAAAAATATTCAAAGACAAGTGCAAACTTACGGTGCAGTCTCAGCATATTTCTCTCTATATGATGCCCCTTTTCTTTACAAACGTGGTACGTGTATTGATACGATCAATCATATTATAAATAATTCTATAAATATTTTACAATTTAATGAATTGTATGGCTTTGATTTTTTGTCTGTCACAGGTGTTTACAGAACTGAACTATCAAAATTTGTAGGACATGAATATGCAAAGTTAATTGGACGTGAAGTAGAAAATGGTGTAGACTTTTTGGTTGTTGGTCAATTCTTCGGGCTATGAATGGGGTCAGAATGGATTGTTCAAAATCAAAAGGGGCACAGATGAATGCCAATTCGGTTGTCATACTTTTGCAGGTTTACCTGAAATTTAATAATATTTTCTTAAAGTATAATAATATTTGTCATATTAAACCAACTTTTTTCAATATTCAAATACTTACTAACAATTAATATTATTTAACTGTATTTATTAATATAATCTTTTTTTCAACGTTTATACTGTTATTTTCACAATAATAAAACTGTTATTACATTTTAGTACCTAGTGTCTAAACACTTTAATTTATTGTGTAATGAATAATTAAATAAATTCTGTTACATATTATAATCGGTGTTGCACTATGCTAATTTACTACAATATCATTTGTTACCTATGTACACAAATACACAATCGCATGTCTATGATGTTTGTCTTAGCTATATCTATTGAACTACTTAAAAACGGAATGTTGAAATATCTTTCCTGTGCAGGGTTAAGGTCCTCGTATGTACACTAATGATAGTAACTTATAATTTACTACGTACTCATGTCTCGTATCGATACGTATTACCTAGTCTTCATATTATTTTATTTCATATTAGTTTATATTTAAATTGAAATCCTTTAAAACCAACTGCATGTCTGCATGGAATGTCCTTAACTCATTAAATTTTTAAGCTAACATATTAATAATTATTAGGTGGGTACATACTATTTAGTGTAAAAACCAATGCAAAAGAAGTATTCTCTATTAAATTATAGTTAAAAAATCTATATAGGTACTATTATAAAAACAAGATAGTCAAGTAGATTTTCGTTTTAGATTCTGAAATTACTTATTGCTCTGCTCTATATTTTAGTTAACTTGATAAAATAATATGGGAACTTCCCTAGAACTAACATCAAACCTCTGATATGTCATTTTTCTCAGCTCTCGCTGAACGTTTATAATGTTTTTATCACTTCCGTGCGTGAATAATGTCACAACTCATAATTATTTTTATATTTTGAGTTGTGACACTATTCTTGACCTACTTGATATAATTTTATCTTTAGCAAAACAACACAAACTAAGTTTTTGTAGAATACATTCATATAATTTTAATAATTTTATATGAATAGCATCAACGAGCAGTCAAATACTTTATTATTATCATAATAATGATTTTATTGAATTCCAGCTGCTTGATGATCATAATTTAAAATTTTATTGAAGACAAGTATTTAATATTACAATATACTGTGGTCCACGTTTCCGTGTTTTAACCATAATAAATACCTATAATATTATAACCATTAAGAACTGTGTTATAAACTATAAATATACAAGTTGCAATGGGTTTATTATAAATAATATTATTAATAGGTAATATTTATTATTTTAATATTGACATTGGTATAATTGTATTTAATAATTGGTTTTGAATTGTGTCAGTGTTCTTTCAGGAGTCAATATGCACAATAATAATTATTTCAGTCATGAACAGTGACATAAGTAAAAAAGTTTTCAAGTATTTGTTAATATAACATTAATAATAATGCATCCTTTTACAACATCAACCGCAAGATAAATATAATTTAACATATTTGTATGAAAACAGCGTGAACATGTAATAATACAATTAAACAATTTAATTTTTAGTGTATTTTTTAAACCTTAAATAGCTGATCAACAGTTGTGTTTTTTGAGTTATGTCACTATTCGTTCAATAATGCGAGTCATAACTCATAATAAATTAATTTGACTCTCCGGTAAACTTTTTTTTCATGTTGGTTCTTTTTTAGTGATAGTTAAACCACAACAATTAACTTTTTTCTACAGAGAGTCGTATAATAAATTAGTATAAAGCTATATAATATGCATTTGGATATCCCATACCGGCATCGAACGTCGAACAATGATAAACGATAATGACAATATTGATTACCAATTTTTTGGTTAATAGGTAGTACTAATAATTAGTAATAAGTAATATTTTTGTATTGTTAAATTATCAATTATAATAGCTGAAGTTATAAGTAAAAGCTCATTGCATAATATATATTTTGTTATTGACTTAATAAGCTAATTCTGGTACTGACGTACCACCGTTTCGATCATTATTAATTGACTATTAATCAACAAAAATCGACATCAAATTGTTCATAAATGATACCCAAATATATTATAATATAATATTTTTGTAACGTTGAATGATAACCGGTATATGAACGGTATTTTTATTCAATAAGGATTATAAATAGAAACAAATTAAGATATAAAAGAATAAAATTAAAATAAAAATAGCAACATAAAGTCAGTCTTGTAATATTTGAATACTTGTATTTTGAAGACTTTTTAAAAGTATTTTTACCAAAATTTAAATACTTGTATTAAAATACCATAAAGTCCGTTTTATTAATTTTAATATATTATTTTTCAAAAACAATTGACATCAATAAAAATAACGTTGTTTTCGCTGAAAGCTAATATTATGTTTTTGTATAGTAAAACTGTAAAAGTAGGTAATAAAAATATTTAAAATTTAAAAAATACCACATCAAATTTTATATAGTTGCTGTATTGGAATTTTTAAGAAAACAAAAAATCTATTAATTTTAGAATAGTTCCATATTAATAGTAAGTAAATACCACATTTTATTTTATTTTTTTCATTAAAATTTAATGAATATATTTGAATGCAAAATTAATTATGTGGACATGTATTTATCTCTAAATAGTCAGACATGTTATAGTAATTGTTAAAATCTATGGAAAGTAGTAACATATAGTTATATAGTTATATAGCTTAAAATTAAAAAAAAGTACTTGTATTTGTATTCAAATACTTTGTGAGTAATGAGAACTCGTAAAATACATTTTTATAATAGTAATTTAAAAGTATTTTTAATACTTTTTTATTCAAATACTAGTATTAATATCTTAATGGTACTTTTTCAAAAGTATTTTTTACAAGACTGCAAAAAGTATTTAAAAAAGTATTCAATAAGGAAAAAGTACCTAATGAATGCTTTTACTCAAATACTTTACAACACTGCCAATACTCAATAGGTACATTCATTGGAGTCCAAAAAAAAATATTGATCAATTCAATATTTACGATCGAATATTGCCAACCGAAACATATTTTTCGATTATCAGATCCGATACCTTTGAGTATAAAATAAAATTCGAAAAATTATAATGGGTAGGTATAGCCTAGGTAGTATGTCTAGGTAGGTAGATACTTCGACAACAAACAAAAAAACAGAAGAGTATTTTATAGTTGCACACACTCACACGGAGTGATACGGTGTAGAATGCTCTATACAATAAATTAACGTAAACCACATGACAAAATAATTGCGTTAGGTTAGGTTAGTAATTTATTTTGTCATGGTAAACCATCAAAACGGTCACTACGATAGCCTCCGATGAACACGATACACTTTAATTTGTACCGTCTAAACTACGATTAAGCTTAATCAGCAGCTGATAACAGATATTTATTCGGCCGATTAAACTCCGGTTAACTTTAATCAGAGATGGTACAACTGGCCCAAAGGGCTGCCCGACGGCTGAACAAAAACGACTCGGTGAAACGACTGTCGGTGGCTGCGGTTGCGGGTCGGTGGAACTGCGGGGTCGATGCAGCAGCTGCAGCTGCGGAACGCCGTTCGCCGGCTCGCCGCCCGACGAACGATGTCGGTGCGGGGTGGGGCGGTGTGCTAAGACGCGTGAACGAGGGCCGCCTGCAGCGGGATTTTATGTTTCAACCTGGGCCGCGTACCGCGCTCTCGGTCTGGGTCGCGAGCGCCGAGCACAGAATATAGATAAGATCGTGACAAGTTTAATAATTTGTCGGTTGTCACGGATAAGATATCATTGTGGCGCCGAGCTGGCTTATAAATTATAGATAATTATCTGGGTGCCGACCACGGCTATAGATAATAGCCGTGGTGCCGACTACAGATATATTATTATTATTATTATTATTATTATTATAAGAACCCTCTGGTTTTTAAATTTACAAGGTCGGCAGCTTTATTTGTAGATTCACCATACTCAGTATTTAAACTTTTTATACAAATTTTGTACTTTTTTTCAGCCTCCTTGTTAAATATCTATATACAAAATTGCAATCATATAAGCTCTAATAGGTGGTTAGTATACTTAAAATATTTTAATTACCCCGCTAAAAAATAAACCACACATTCAAAAACTGTTGATTGTGGCGTTTGGTAGTGATCGTGATCTTCAAATATATCATCCAATTCCCATTGGCGGCCATCTTCAACAATAATATCAATTTGATTTTTTAATTTTTCAATTTTTTTTTTCCGTCACAGGTTTCATTATTTGTCGTTATAAATTTATGCAACAAGTCATTTTGTTGCTTATAGTCTATAGACTTATAGTGATTTAAAGTAGACAAGTACTACCATAGAACAATACTACTGTGTTAATCACGATTAATGATATTATATGTTTAATCGAGGTATTACATTTTTAATGTATAAAAGCAAATACGCACGAGTAGCATCCTTTTGATATAGTGTGATTGTTTAATTTTTTTCATCAGTTTTATTATCAAATTTACCCTCATGTGATAACCACTTTCCCGCCCACCAGTTGACGTGGTGTCAAACACCACCCTCGACAGTCCACCATGTCCACCCACGAACATAACGAATATAACTTCACACTGATGTCGGACCTACGACAATGTATTATTTATTGCCAAATGACAATAATATCATGTCGGTCCTCTCTGGACGAAGTATTTCAATGTAAGCAAGAGTCAACAATTAAAAGGTACTCTTAGCAGTAATATTGTCCTTATGTTTTAACTTTTTAAGTCTATAAAATATGTTGAGTAATAATTGTGGCTACTAAGTGCGCTGTTTGAGGCTTCTATAATCCACAAAATTCCATAACAACAGCTCGGTAAGTGTAAATCTGCGTATTCAAATAATTTTTAAATATTATCAAATATTGTTTTTAATATAATTCATTTTAAATATTTAAAGAGTATCATAAATTCATGATTTTTGTATCAAATGCTCAAAATAAAAAATAAAAAATGTATTTTGATATTAAGATGATGTAAGCTCAGTGTTGTGATCCAGATGTGGAGCACAGTTGACAAAGGTCCAATCAAATTAATTAACACGTAACTAGTCAAATTAACTATTGTTATAAGTTTATTGATGTGGATTAGTATTCAACTCATTTTAAACACTCAGAGGAATGTTACAATTTAAGACAAACATCTCTAGCATGAATACCGTCAACTAGCCGTCATGCAGAAATAGTGTGTGTGAGATCTCTCTCGGAGAGCCTTTTATATACTAGACAACGGTCAAATTGTATTATCTTTTACAAGGTCCTACTTGAGTATTCCCTATGGCTCTTTTAGTACTTTATAAATTACCTTTTCCTTGTGATACTTGTTAATAGTAATTAATATACTATAACACCTACACCATGCGCAATACTGTATAAATATATATGTGTGTGGTCCTATACCTTGCAGATAGGTATTGCAACATCAGTATTTGTTTTCTCTCTGACCCATTCATAGCATAGCAAATTTTACATTCACAATAATGATTATAATCATATTAATTTCCCAAATTAGAGTGAAATGACCTCTTATAAAACTTAAAGTTAAGATTATTATCAAGGGCATCTCATAGGCGTTTTATTATATTTAAGTTTAAAGCGAGTTAAGAGTATTTTAAGATAATCTTTCTTTAAAATTAAAATACAATAAAACACCTAAGAGATGCTCTAGATAATAATCTTACCTTTAAATTTTATAAGAAGTAATTTCACTCTAATTTTAGAAATTAATATAATTATAAATTATTTTCATTATTATGAACATAACGCAGATTAGAGAGAGAAAACAAATAGTTCGCTAACTTCATCTTAATCACTTCTGGCTACTGCACTTGGTTTCATAGGTATAATATATTTATTTTAATAGATTTAGTAACTTTAAACGTCAATAATCCAGCATCCAGTTCACTCTAAAATTCAAAGTAAAGCTTAAATAAAAAGATACCTATATATTTTCAAATCAATAACATATGCTTTGCTAAAAATAATTTTCATAGTGTAAAGTAATTGAGTAATATTTCAAATACTTAAAAAAATATTTAATTATTAGGTTTTTTTCATCTCAAACAAGTCAAAACCTATTTATGAACCACTGTAGGTGATGATAGATTAAATGATCTGATGGTTATAACTGCAAAGAAGGAATAATCTAATTTAGAAGAGGCAGTAAACGCAATTGCACATTGTAGTACCAGTAGATATCCACTAATTTACGTTTTAAAATAATTAATATGATATTTTGTATGCATTATTTTAATTTAGGAATTAAAGTAAATTCCTTTATACCATATTTGCCTTTTTTTCTTCTCTAAATAGTTTTGAAATGGCTTCAGTTGGTTACTTTAGTTGCTTAATACATTGAATTTCTAGCTATTTAAAAAGTATATTATGGTTGACATGAGTAATTTTAAGTAAGATAATAAAAGGGTAGCCGATAATATTAACGTACATAATATTTTATATTTACGTTTATATTATAAATTTTTTTTTTTTGAAACCATCTGTTGAAATGTTGAAATTGGACTGACTGAAATCTCGCCACCTGAAAAAAAGTTGAAATGATATATTATGTATGTATAGCAGGCAGCAGTAGTTATTGTTGTTGACTTGTTGTGTCTTGTAAGAATAATAGAATTAGAAATATTAATAATTTACCTACCTAATAATAATACAATTATGATAAAATATTTTGGTAAATCGACTTGTTTGTTAAAACAATTTCTCTATAAGAGCAATCATAAAACGTCGGTTGAAAAATAACACATAACGTTATAATGCCACATACAAAGAAAAAATACTTCGGCATATATTGTTAACAAGTTTAAATATTCATTTATACGCAACGTAAAATATTTTTATTTTATAAAAATTTAACAAAGTAAAGTGTTTTTTGGAATCGTTTCATTATTGCAACTGTACCAGACACCAGTCACTGGTGTACCGAATGAATTATGTAACGATGTCTATAACACAACTAAATAAATAAATAAAATAAATAAATAACAAAGTTACCTTAATATTACTCAAAAAAGTAACTTTTACTACCCAACACTAACTATTTTGCAGGGACGGTTTTGATGATGTATCTTAACCGTAACCAGATCGGGAGCAATAAATCAAGAGAGCTGTTTTCAAGTCCGAGATTGACACCCATGATTATTTGAATAGTAACCAAAACCGAAATGTTTTTTTTTTTTTGCTTAGTGGTTAACCGGTCTTTAAATTAAACGATTAATGATACTTATGTTATTTAATATTTTAGAAATATCCGAACATAAAACGAAAGTCAATATTCTGTGAATATAACTATTAGACAATAAAATTCTCTGTAGATATAAATTGGATTCCACTTATATTTTGTTATTTATATACTATTAGGTTTATATTATGCCATTGATCATAAATACTATAGATTGCTCACTGGCCGGTTTTTCGGTATCATGAAATATGTAGTCCCGGTAAATGGCGAGGCGACATAACTACTAGCGATTTCAATATTATCCGATCTGACTAAATCAGGTGGCCGTGTTAATTGGTGCTTTTGGCTTGTGGTTAGTAATGTCAGATAACGTTGTAATCGTTAGTAGTTACGTCACCTCGATATTTACCATCAGTAAATATTTTGGGACACCGAAAAACCGGCCAGTGAGCAATCTATAGTATTTATAATCAATGGTTATACTATAAACCTAGTATGTTATATATATATATATATTTAAGTTTTGTGAATACCGTCTGTTATGCACTTATATATATTTAAATTAATACCTACCTAATTAATAGTGATTAGGTTGATTACATTTTTCAATACTGGTTACTTGTTAATTCTTAATTATTACTAAATAGTATAGTGTCTTCGATGACCAGTCGTAATAACTTGTTATTGTAAAAATTATACGTACAAATTAATAATAGATCGTATATAGTCGTACATTAATTCATTTAATTTATTTGTATTTGTAATTTTATTTTAATAACATAAGGTTTTCTATAGGTAGTGAAAGTTATAGCTGTTTATAACTTAAATAATTAAATGTTCATACTATTATCATTGCGGTTTATTGCTTGCAGCTGATAAAGATATTGAGCTGAATAATGTTTGGTATTATGATTTGTATGAACTTCTTTTTTTTTAAACCTGTATGTGAGCGGTTAACCAAAGACCAAAACCTTAGTAGTAAAAACCGGTTTTAAAAATCGACACCAAAACCTATGACTTTTATTTTGGTTATTAAAACTGGGGAGCAAAACCTTACCTAACCTAACCGGTTTTAAAAACCATAACCATAACCTTCAAATTTTTTTTGGTTTCCGTCCCTGCTTTTTTAAAATATTTTTACTTGAAATATTCAATATTAGATTTTATTCTTAATATTATTTAATAATAATTTATTAATTCTCCAACAAGCAATATTTACAAGATGTATTATTAAATAAATAACATATTTTTGTTGGATTAACTCTAAAGTCAAAGCAATTACAATATTTAATAAACACATCAAGAATACTTTATAATTATTCAAAGTGAAATATAAATATTAGAATCAATTATTAAAAATAAATAAATTATCAAAAATATAGAATCATTTTTTTTTTTTTTTTAAATCTTAGGTATTTAAATCCAGACACATAAGTTCTCTTTTTAATTGTTTATAATTAGTAAAATCATGAAAACAAATGTTATGTCTAATACAAAAATGAATGAATACAAAATATAGTTCAGATTGACAAAAAGCACTTCTTAATTTAGGTAGAGTTATATTAATATCTTTATAATTATGAGTAGAGTATTAATTGTGTTAATATATTTAAAAACAACTGCAAAAACATGCATTATATGAAGAGACTTAATATTTAAGATTTTACATTCGTTAAAAAAAAAAGTTGTTTGGAAAAAGTCTTGGCTTATTGGATATATATTTTAAAAGAAAATTTAATGTTGTATGTAATTTTTTAATATGAGTATCAAAAGCGTTACCCCAAAATGCTATAGTACACTATTGATTAAAATAAAGATTTATATACTATTATTTTTTAAACGTTAACAGTTAAGATATTTCTCTAACATTTAAGTACGTAAAAGAATTTTTCAATCGACTTTATTAACTTATCTATGTGAACATTCCATTTTAAGAGTTCATCAAAATGTATACCTAGATATTTTACAGAGGATGTTTTATGATTTGAAGGACCTACACAATTATTTACTTCTCTTTTACATAATACAGCATGTACAATTAATTTATCAAAGTTTAAATTATTGTTATTATCATTTATCTTAAAATGTATTAAGTTGGATTTAGTAAAATTAAGTTGTAAAGAATTATTGTCCAGCCAATTTTTAATTTAATTAATACCTTTATTAGCTTCATGTTTTATTTTATGTAACTAAGAATTACTACCAAGAAAAACCGTGTCATCAGCAAAACACAATACTTTACTTCCTAAATTTTGGTTAAGTAAACCATTAATATATATTATAAAATGTAGTGGTCCAAGAACAGTCTCTTGAGGTACAGAATTATTAATTAATTGGTGATCACTATAAATATCATTGATTTGAACTTCTTTGCTTCTATTACTAATAAATGATTCTAATAGTTTTAATGGAATTTCTCTCATTCCACAGTAGGTATTCAAGTTTTTTTTTTAACGATAAGTTATGATCCACAGAATCAAAAGCTTTTTTCAAGTCTAAAAATATACTAACATAATGTAATGTATCACACTTAGATAAATTATTCCTGAAACCAAATTGGTTTTCATTAAAAAATTTATTTTCATTTAGAAAGTTAACAAGTCTTGTTTTAATACATTATACGAGAAGCTCAGTGATAGTCAATGTAAGAGTGATTGGTCTATAAATGTTACATTTTTTTATATCATCAGTATTATAAAGTGGAATAACTATTGAATTTTTAAAGCTAGAAGAAAATTCACCAGTTAAAAAGCATTTTTTGAAAATTATGGACAAGGGTAAAGATAAATTAGTTGATGTTTAGTTCATTATAGTATTTGTCAACAAATCTTCATAATAAGATCAAGATGAATTATCTTTACATTTTATAATCATACTACTTTGTTCAATAGGGTCAATAGAGCTTAGAAAAATTTAATTTTCAATATGACAGTTATATTTTAGGTATATAAAACCATCATCAATATAATTTGAAGCTATATTACTTCCACCATTAACAAAAAATGAATAAAATAAATATTAGCGACTTATTTTGAGTTATAGATAGCCCTACCTGACTCAACTTTGATTTCATTAATGATTGTTTGTTTATTACCCTTAGTATTAGACATTAGAAGCTATTTTTATAAGATTCCATACTTTTTTAGTATTATTGCCAACTAATTCAAATTGTCTTTTATAGTATGTGCCTCTAGCAATTTTAATTAAGTTATTAAGTTTATTTCTATAAATAATATAACATTTTTATTATGAGCATTTAAAGGTTGACGCCTCATTTTATTATACATTTTTCTCGAACTCTTATAGACATAATAAGACCCAGAGAAATCCAGGGCTTTAGCTTGCGTTTTTTACTTTTGTTCCTTCTTTTAATTTGTTAGTAATAATTAGTAGATGCTAAAATTAAATCATTGTTTTATTATTAAAAATATCCTCTGAGCTATCAAAATTTTTAGTATCTAGCAGGGTATCTAATCTTCATTTCTAATCAATTAGATATGAAGATTGGAATACCAATCTAAATATATTTAAAGCCAATTGTTTTAGTATAATAATTATATCATTGTTTGCCTTAGTTATAGGCGTAGTTAGGGGGGCTTAGCCTACCAGTTTGAATAATAGCTCCCCACGAGTCTTTATATGTCTGCCCCTCCAAAAAAATTTGACCACTGGCCTTGGCCAGTACAACCTATGGCCTTAGTGTTTTGAATGTTTAAACATTCAATATCAGATTTTATTCTTTTTATAGACAAGAAAAATTAGGCAACAAAAAACATGTTCCTTCTTAAAAATTAGCCACAAAATTAGAATTTCTTCTTATTTTAAAAGATACCATTTTACTATAAAAAAAAAAGTAAATGTTTAAAAAAATAATTAAATGGATTTTATTAATTTTTGTTTCAGATTAAAATTTTGAATATGCTACCTTCAGATCGTCAAGTTTACTCTGATTCTGATGAAAGTTTAGATAATTTTCCTAGAAAAAAAACTAAAATATCACATGTAAATGAACAATCATTTGATAGAGATATTTTGATTGACAAAGGTAGTCAAAATTGTGACGACATTGAAATGAACCATTATTTTAATCACAAAAATCAAAATTTGGAGAATAATCAAAATGTGTCTTCTGGAGTATCTGACGATGATGATTATAACGTTAATAACTTTGAAGATAGTGAAAGTGAAGATTATGTACCTATGTCAGGTGGTAAACATGAATTAGAAAAGTATGTTACAAATGAAACAAATTCTAAGACAAATGCAACTGATGGTGAATTTATCAAAGATGTTAGTGTTTTTGTCAATGATATTAGTGTTTTTGTCAATGATTTTAATAACGATAAGGAAAGAATGACTAAATCTTATAAACACATTGGAATAGATGACGATGAATTATATGAAATACTAGAAAAACCATATAGAGACAAAAACAAATATCACAATAAACATAAAAAGAAAGTTGCTACTCCAGACGAAAACACAGATAGTGAAAGTGAAGATTATGTACCTATGTCAGGTGGTGAACATGAATTAGAAAAGTATGTTACAAATGAAACAAATTCTAAGACAGATGCAACTGATGGTGAATTTATCAAAGATGTTAGTGTTTTTGTCAATGATTTCAATAACGATGAAGAAAGAATGACTAAATCTTATAAACACATTGGAATAGATGACGATGAATTATATGAATTACTAGAAAAACCATATAGAGACAAAAACAAATATCACAATAAACATAAAAAGAAAGTTGTTACTCCAGATGAAAACACAGATAGTGACAGTGAAGATTATGTACCTATGTCAGGTGGTGAACATGAATTAGAAAAGTATGTTACAAATGAAACAAATTCTAAGACAAATGCAACTGATGGTGAATTTATCAAAGATGTTAGTGTTTTTGTCAATGATATTAGTGTTTTTGTCAATGATTTTAATAACGATAAGGAAAGAATGACTAAATCTTATAAACACATTGGAATAGATGACGATGAATTATATGAATTACTAGAAAAACCATATAGAGACAAAAACAAATATCACAATAAAAATAAAAATAAAGTTGTTACTCCAGATGAAAACACAGATAGTGACAGTGGACCTATGTCAGGTGGTGAATTTGAATTAGAAGAGTATGTTACAAATGAAACAAATTCTAAGACAGATGCAACTGATGGCGAATTTATCAAAGATGTTAGTGTTTTGGTCAATGATTTTAATAACGATGAAGAAAGAATGACTAAATCTTATAAACACATTACAATAGATGACGATGAATTATATGAATTACTAGAAAAACCATATAGAGACAAAAACAAATATCACAATAAACATAAAAAGAAAGTTGTTACTCCAGATGAAAACACAGATAGTAACAGTGAAGATTACGTACCTATGTCAGGTAGTGAATTAGAATTAGAAGAGTATGTTACAAATGAAACAAATTCTAAGACAGATGAAACTGATCGTGAATCTATCAAAAACAAACCTCACAATGAATCTAATAAGGAAGTGTTTACTCCAGATGACTACGAAGAGGGTGAAAAAACGTTGTTGGAGGAAGTGTGTAAAAATCATTTTGATATTTTGCCTGAAAATTGGATACATGCAATTCATAATAGTGGCATGCCTATTTATTTAAACAAGAAAAGTAGAGTTGTAACATTATCAAGACCTTATTTTTTGGGACCAGGAGATCCTAAATCACATTTAGCACCAGTGTCAGCAATTACTTGTTTACAATATCAAAAAGGTCTTGAAAATAAAGAAATTATAAAAAATGTACCCAATTATCATGTTAGTAAAGTTGGAGATATGATTATACCTAATGCCAAAGTGGAGACTGTAGAAGAAAATATTATTAAAGAATCTTTAACACATGTGGAATTACGGGAATATTGTCAATCACTATTTAAGTAAATTAATACTTTTATGGTTAAATAATATTAAAAATATAATTTTTTTTTTTATCATGCATTTTAATAATTATACTTATTTTTTACAGGTTGAAGGTTGAAGAAAATAAATCTCCAAATAAAACACCGAAAGAACAAAATATAAAAACAGAAATTTCTGGAGCCACACTAAAAAACACCAAGGAAAGACCTTCGCTTCCAGATAGTACTAAATTGATATCATTTCCACTTCAAACCGAGGACCACAACAAACAATTTTATCGTCGCCGAGAATGGATAATGAATCCAATTGGTAAAAGTTATGTGAGCATATTACATGAATATTTACAACAAGCATTGCAAACACTACCTAGGTATGAGTTTAAAGAACTTGAAAGTGAAGAATTACCTTATTCTGCAACTGTTGTGCTTAATGATGTTCAATATGGTGTTGGTTTGGGTATTAATAAGAAACAAGCAAAACTTAATGCAGCCCAAGCCACTTTAGATATACTCATACCTGAAATGAAAAATAAAATAGATTCAAATATCAAAAACCAAAGTGATCCAGTAATATTTGATCAAATTAAAGTCACCGACCCCAGAGTTATTGAATTCTGTGCTAAAACTTCAGAACCTAGTCCGTATGATATGTTATTAATATGTTTGCAGAGAAACATTGGTGAATGTGAAATAGGTATTGAATTTAAAGTGAACAAACGTCATAGGACGATGTTCAATCAATACTGCACAATGACTGTTGGTAAAGACAAAGCTTCTGTTCCTTGTAAAAATAAAAGGGATGGCAAACAAAAAGCTGCTCAAATAATACTGAGCTTATTACATCCACATATTGATAATTGGGGTTCGTTGTTACGGCTTTACGGTAACGGTAGCATTAAGAATCCTAAAGAAAAAAAACAAGAACAGCAAGAAATCACTCGGCTCCAGTGTAAAGCTACAGCGAATCAACCAAATTTTGCTATACTAAATAAACTTAAAGAAGAAATGTTAAAAATTAGAGACCAAAGAAAATTAAAAGAAACTAATGAAATGTTAGGATTACCTTCGACAATGCTTGCTACAACATGTCCAAATACCATAGCAACTCCATCATCATCCACAAGTCCTAACTAACAAATACTTTTGATTAAGGGGGAGGGGGCTCCATACTACTGCATTCTAAGGATACAATTTTCATAGGCAACTTCTTATACCCACTTTTGACAATCAGCCTAGTTGTTGTATTAAGGCGGTTATATTCTTAGCATTTTTCGATGTAGCGTTCAAAACACTCAATATTGAACCAGCGCGTTTTAATGCGTTTTTCCCTTGTGTGAACATGGTCATATTATGTAGATAGATGTTTAATTTTGAGCGTTCATAATACTGCATCAAAAACACTAGGTGTGTAACCACCTTCAGTTTTTGAGACCCCCTTTAATTTATTAAATACTTTGTATATTGGTTTTCAATATTTGTATATTTTATTATATTAACCTACTACCTAAACTATAGTACACACTCCAGAAAAATCATTAAGTGATAATTAATGGTTTTAACTATACAATAAATATACTAGATAAAATATGTAGGTATAATGGTAGATCCTATTACTACCTCTATAAAAATTACAAATATTTTTTATATCTACTTACTATCGACACACAATTTGAGATAATAAACTTGTTCCGATTTTTTTTCAATCATAATTCATTGTAATACACTTGTCATAGTGATATATTTATAATGTATAGCTAAAAGTAATTGATAGAGCTCCTAGCAAATTACCTAGATTTAGTATAGATATAAGATTGTGTTTTATGACTTAATTAAGCACATTTCCATTCATAATATGTATTTTTTTTTTAATGTGATTGAATTCAAAGAAAATAATATAGAAAAAAAGAAATAAATGTACTTGATTTTTTTTTATATATATATTGAAAAAAAAACGTTTATTGTTATATCTACTTTCTTTAAGCAGAACTTATGTTGGATGTAGAGAGTTACATATTACAAATGATTAGTTAAACATATCCATATATAGGTACAGTGTAAAGAGAAAAAGGAATTATAATATTTATCAATGACTAAGAGGATATCACACCCGCATGTGTTGTTTCCGTCGTACAAAAGTACAACATAGTAATAACTGTTTTGCGCGGAACCATTTTTCTCGCTCCATATTTGTTGCAGAACTACCAAATTCTCACATCACTTAAAGAAGAACTTTATTTATGCAACAGTTTGCTTTTTTTTTTTTTTTTTAATATCACTATCCAATAATTTTTTTGTAAGTAAATGAAAAAAACTAAATGTTTAGAAGCAAAAAACTTTTATTGTACTTATGTTATCTAAAATATGGGCACGGCGTTGCATAGATAATTATCCACCCTATTTGTTCAGAAATTTTGGAGCCATTACTACAAACACAGAAAGATAAAACTTTTCCCGCCCAAAACCGTTTTTGCTATGTTGTACATTCGTAAGACGGAGACAACACATGCGGGTGTGGCGTCTTCTTAAAATTAATATATAAATGGATAAATTGATTGCATTGTTATATTATCTTATTTAAGTGCATATTTTACTTATATTTTGAAATTAGAATTTTTTTTTTTTTTTAGACATGTTTAAGAATACCCACACTGAAGATATAAATATCTATTTACATATATTTAATAAATTGTTTTAATTTTTATACACCGTACATTTATGCATATTTCTACAACATAAGTTAATAATATTGCCAATAAAAATATTTTTCTGATAACTGTGTATCATCTCTAGTCAATATTATGTTTTGTTTCTTAGGGCATATTTTAAGGATTTTAAGGGCATGAAGTCCATATGCCTAATTATTGCTGTTTGAAAACTTTTTCGTTATAAACACGATAACAAATTTTTTGTAGAGTAAGTTAATAGGTAATGGTGTAATACTTTAAATTCTTTATCATTTAGTTTAGCAGATTTTGAATAAACATATTTTGAGAAAGTATTTAAAATACTACAATCAAGTATATAATTATCATTACAATTGTTAATTTAAAAAAATCATTGAATTATTACACATAAAAAATGTTTGTGATTAGTTTGACACTGTTACATTCTAAGCATACCAATTTGTTTAATTTTTTACTAGGGGCTAGACAAAACATCCACCCAGCTGATTATCTAGTGATTTTAAAAACAAGGGGATTTTTAACACATAACAACCATCAAATGTACATGATAATAAAGTTTTTAGAAACCAGTTTTTCTAATTATGCAGACTCAATTAATGTTTTTGAAGATACTTACGAAGATTTTTTCAAAAATGAAAATCTACCTTTGAAGTAGGAATGTGCCAATGCCGAACATAGAATTGTCATATTTTCTAAAATGTTTGATTTATTTATTATTATGCAGATGAGGCAGCATAGCTACCCAAAAAATATTGAATCTAAGAAATTAAATCCCACAAAAAAAAAAGTCAAAATTGGTTACTCCTTAAATAAAGCTATTTAAAATTAAGTGTTATTACTTATTTTAGTAGATTAAGAAATTAATTAAAAATTAATATTCACTTTATTTAGTCTTGAATTTACATTATATTAATAATATGTTTTCCTTTTTTCTTGTTTAAAGTATTTGGAAATATAAAATTATACCAGTAAAATACAGAAAAAGTATATTAGAGTTTATATACCTATTTAGAATGGAAAATATTAATTTTTACAATAGGTACTACGCACAAAATAATAGTTTATTGGATTATCCACACAATTAAAAATATTGCTCTTTAAACCCGAAAATACAAAATAAGAATACAATATTGATGATGTTTATGTAAGCAACTAGATAGCGCTATAACGTAACTTTTAACAGATTTTTGATAAGAACAATATTGGTGATTACAAAATAATGACTCTTTGTGCAACCTTCTATCTAAAGCCGTGGTTAAGACCATGAACTAGTACACAGGACTGGACACTATGGGCAGGAGGAGAGTAGGGGGTCGTCCACAAAGTTGTACATATTCGGTACACATGCGACACAGCGCCATCTGTGAGATAAGAAATATTTTGTTATATAAAATACCGCCTTAGTAGTTCATGCTTAAACTGTTCACTCTTTAAGCAGTAATTATATTCTGATAATATTCTATAAATAGTATCATTATTATCTTGAACTGTGTTATTAATAATTGTTTTTCAAAAATTAAAAAGTAAATTTATTATCAGTTATTATCACTAATATCACTATTCTTTAGTGTTATCCTATAAAAAACGTAGTTCGTACTACTAACAGGCAGAGTGCAGTTACATCGCATGTGTACGAACCATGTACAACTTTGTGTCCGTGATTTTCTCTGTAGTGTCCAGTCCTGTGTAGTAGTTCATGGTTAAGACCTCCATATCAGTAAACCTCAAAAAATGTTCATGTTCGTTTCCTTATAATAAGCAAAAATGACCTATTCATTCTTGAATATCTATGGGAATATGGATAAACATAACATAAACTATAAAATAACTTAATTTGAGGTCTTAATTTTTTCATTTTTCATTTTGTATTATTTTTATAAACTCAATAACATTGGTGTCAAACTGTTTTAAATGTATTTATTTATAAGTTGTTGTTATTAATTTCTTGACTGAACAGCGTTCATAATGGATTCCGACTTAGACTCCGAACTAAAATCAGATTTTAAGTCGTACCTTCGGCACATATCCCAAGGAAAAGTATGTACCGATTCCGTTTAAAAAAAAAATGGCTTATGAATGAATAATTTAATGAGTGTTGTATGTGAAAATGTGTTGTAGAAATATCAACAATATACAAAATTAACCGAAGAACGTTATTCATCAGCCGAATATAAGCAAGACAATTTGCGTTCTACAATTCAAACATTATTTATAAACAGATTTGTTCAAAAGTAAATCTGATTCACTATTTTACCATATTGTGAATCATCCAACTAACTTGGCACAATTATTTTTTCTTTTTAGTGAAATTTCTACTGATGACGTTGACATTGAAACTATTGACAACGATGAGAAGTTATTAACATATAGACCTGATGTTGAAGTTAAATCAATAGGATCATATAGAAATTCAAAATTACCTAGAGATCCTGAAATGTGGGAAGATAATATTAACATGTATGTTTTCAACTTTCAATATCATTATAACAATCCTGAGTCTCTAAATACATATTTTTCAACTGCTTGATAGTAAATGGAATTAAAAATTGTATATTACAACTGAATATGATACTTGAATGACATTATCATCCAGGAAATGTTAGAAATTGTGAAAATATTTGATATTACCTGGCTATGAATGTCAGGAATCAACTTAATTGGACCTAATACGAATAATATGTTAATTAACATTATTATTTGTTGTAGGAAACGGTGGAATAAACTTCAACGGACTTTGTTTGAAAGAGCTCTATCTATTTTATACTCAAACCGTTTATCAAGATTAACGTATGAAGGTACAGTACAAGAGTGTGTTCAAAAAATCATATCTACTGAAAAATCAGTGGCTGAAATGTACTATCTATTAACTAATTACACTCACTGGGACATATCATTGACGCAATGGTTACATGGACTATTCATTTCTAATTTACCACATGACTATCTTGCATCCTACATCGATATATTAGAAGTATTTAAATAATTATATTTTTTTTCTGTCTTACTTACTATATGTAATATTTTTTTCAATAGAAATTGAAACAAATTGCTCCATTATTTGTAAATGATATGATATCATCAAATTCAATAGGACGTCCTAAAGAAGAAATTAAATCAAAATCAATTAATTTGGATGAACCTGTTGATCCTTTTAACTTAATGTTGACAACTTACCCACCCGTAAGTATAATAAATGCTTAAATTTCATGTGATAATTTATATTCAATTAAATAAAGTAATAAAAAAATATTTTAGCTAAAATTACCAAAAAATCCTGTTATAATATTAGTGCCAGACTTCCCTGGGTATTGTACACAACCAAATACAAGGACTTATGATTGGATGAATGCCCTATCATATTTAGCAGAATTAGATGTTGCTTTGACTGTGAAAGGTAAATAAAACGTTTTCACATTTAATACTGTACACTCATTTTGTCTACCAGTTTGTATGATATTTTAAAACAATAATATGAAACATATTATATTGTATTTGAGTCATTACTACACAATAATATCTTTATTCTATTGGGCATGTTCTAGGGTTCTATTTTGCCAGCCTCATTTTACAAGTCCTTTTCCAATATCATATTGTTTTAAATAACTTCCTAAATATACCTTTCATAAAAATCTTCTATCTTTATTGTTTATTATTTATATAATTTAAAAACGTTATTGTTTATATATTATCAAATATTTAACACACTATATATTTTTAACTATTTTTTCAGGCCAGTAATGTATTAAAATAAAATGAATATCCATAAAAATATTATTAAAAATTAAAATTCTTCTTATGTACCGATATATTTAAAAAATACTGAATCTACAGTTTATACATATATTAAAAATACACAAATTATCATATTTAGAAAAAAATTCTACTTCATAATATTAATTTTAATTGAAAATAGATTGCCTGAAAAAAATGTCGATAACAATTAAGTATTGAAGTATTATAAGTACCTCTTTATAGCTATAAAAATGTATTAGTTTTTTAAATCGCAAAAATTGAATGGTTAAATTATTATCATACATTTAATGTACTGCCTTGTACATAATATAAATAAATTATTTTTTATCAAGTTAATATATGATTATTGTATTTTAGTACCATGGGATTATGAAGAGTACTCTAGTGAAAAAGAATTAGATATAGAAACCAGTTTAGAAGCCATGGTAGATGCTACAAGAAGTAAAGTTGTATCAGTGCGATTTGAAGATCCTAGCAGGCCTATTATTCTGGCAGGCGTTGGAGTCAGTGCTGCTATTGCTTGTCAAGTACATATCTTTTATTAATTCATATTTTTAACAACATATCATTATACAAATTATAATAGTAAATAGTAAAAAATAAATATTAATATAAATGAGAATATAGTACCAATATTCAGTGGCGTACATACGGGGGGAGGGGGTTCGGGTTCAAACCCCCCCCAGGACCAAAAAAAAATAAAAAAAAATAATGTGATATTATTGATGAATTTCTTATTATTAATCAACCGTGTATACACAAATATACGTCATAATAATATGACTATTGAGTAAACAGTAAACACTATACTTAACCAACAACGAAAAAAGATTTCATAACGAAATTATGGGTGCCGTATAATATGGTATATCAATCAAAATAGACATTATTTTGATCGTACACAGTCAGTTAGTTGCGTGCGGATATAAATACATATTAATATTGTCTTTATCTCGACCGACTCATTATAAACACACAAGACTGGGTGAGTTAAGTTTTTTTTTTTTTTTTAACTCAGTTAAGTTAATAAGCATACACACATAGATATAGTATATATTGTATTTTTAAGTACAGAAGTTACCTATCACATAAGTAATAAGTAATAAATAATAATAAATAAGTATTATATATTTTAGTTGTCTTTCAAACAGATATTATTTGTGTACATCATAATACGATGAGTAGGTATTTTTAATTTTAATGTTTTAACTATCAACGTGAATACTGTTAATAATAATTTTTAATAATAATTAATAATCTCACAAAACCGTAAAATCATAAAATCAATAGGTAATTGATTTATTTATTTTTAGATTTTAGTGTCGGCAAACTATATCATAATATTATGTCTATATTATTGAAATTTTGACATGGCAACAAAATAGACTCAAATAATGAAATGTAAAAAATTGAAAAACAAAATAAATTAACTTACAAATAAAAAATTAATTCGTTAATTTAACGTTGATTAGAAAATAAATTTAGTAAATTAGTAGTTAAGTTAAAAATTATTATTATCACATCATAATCATTATCATTCGATTTCGATATATTTTAGGTTTTGAAGGTAAAATAAATAGTAATCATGGCTGAAAAAAAACAATCGAAACGGCAATCTTTTTTTCGAAACCACCCTCAATAATGAATTCATTGTCAAATTCATTGAATGCAACTCAAACAGTTATAAGTTCCTCTAGTTCACCATCAACTGCATCTGCATCTGATACACCTATCACTCAGTTTACACCTTCGACTACAGATATTAATCGTACATCTTCCAGTTATAATATTTTTGACATTGCACATTACATAAATAAATTGTTATCGCAAAGTGAAATAGAAGAAATTTTGAGCAAAATTTGGGTCCCTGATATTAATTACAATTGTCCTATCAAAATATCAGTAGTCGGTAAACAACAAAAAGTTTTGAGGTTGAAATTTCAATATAAATGGCTAATTAACTTTCCCTGGTTGGCCTATTCAGAAGTAAACAATAATGGTGCGTATTGCAAATATTGTGTTGCTTTTACTAAAAATGAAGCCGGTGTTAATAACCAAAAATTGGAAGCATTTGTATTAAAAAAATATGATGATTGGAAACATGCATTGGAAGACTTTAAAAATCATTCGAATTTAGAATATCACAATCAATAGAATTTTTATTATAAATAATTAATAATATAATATTTATAATATTCTGTACTTACTATGTGCATATTAAATAATATTTAACTGCCAGGAGTTACGTAAACCTTTGTATTTGTTTTGCTATTTTGCCTATTAATATTTATACGTGTAATGTGTTTGATTGTTAGGAAAATGGGTAGTTGCAAACAGAAGGTTTTAGTGCTGGTTATTTTTTTTAAACCTCCCCCAGAGCAAATTTGAATGTACGCCACTGCCAATATTAATATATTACTATGAGTATACTACAGGATCCTCATAACTCTCTTACCAATAAAGACAAATTTAAAATTATGAAAGAATTAAAACTTTCAAGGATCAAAAAGAAAAGGCGAGTAGTTTACTAGTATGGAGAATTGGAATTGAATAACATCCAACTGGTTGAAAAAAATTAAAAATTAGTCATACGTTTATGCAACCGCGTCGAGCATAAATAGTTGATATAGACTTGTTCTATGTAATCCTCAATCATTACATGATATTAATAATAATACGTATATATAGCTTAAAAATTGTATTAAAATAAAATATGGTGTTAATGTGTTGTAAATGTAGTATTTAATTAATGTAAATTCAAGTTTTTAATTTGTAGGAATACACTAATACATGTATAAAATTATTGCAATAAATATTAACTTATATGTATTTGTTTATGTATTATAGGTAGCTGTTCTAGAAAATGTTGAAGGGTTAGTATGTTTGGGATTCTTTGTTAACTCATCTGAGGTAAAAAGAGGTTATGAAGGCGATTGTATTTTGGGTCTTGAATGTCCTACAATCTTTGTGACCGGCCAGCTTAGCATATTTTCACCGTATGTTGTTACTTTTTTTTATCAGTTACATTAAAAACAAATTATTCTTAATAGCAAGTTTCTAAAATTTCATAGGATTTTGGATATGGAAGAATTAAGAGTAAAGCTGAAATGTAAGACCAATCATATACTAGTTGGTGGAGCAAATGATGAATTGGTCATGAACCATACTACTAAGATGAGAGAGGCAGTCACTCAAAAATTTGTTGACAGATGTATTTTGGTATAATTTAAACTTGTCACTATTAAGAGGATGTCACACCAGCATGTGCTGTCTCTGTGTTAGAAATGTAAAGCATAGCAAACACTGTTTTCGAGGGCAAGAACCACTTAGGCTGTAGTCCAAGTTAAGCAACCAAATTTTCACACTAGAAAGACTAACTGTGCAACTACGTGTTTAATTTTTTAATATTACAAATAGGAACAAAGTTATTTTTGTTTAAAAATTCTTTATTTTTGAGTTTTTCAAACTTAAATAACTATTTTTTAGTCCTGATATCGAAAAAATAATAACACCTTTGCACAGCAAATGTTATCCTCTTTATAGTGTGAAAATGTTGTTGCTTAGCTACAGCCTGAGTCGTTCTTACCCACACAAAACCGTTTTTGCCATTTTTTACATTTGTTAGACGGAGACAACACATACGGCTGTAGTGTCCTCTGACACCTTGTCCTGCATAAATCCAGCGAATCCGACTATTACTATTATGATAATGCTGTTTAGTCACAATACACAATATGACCGATATGACAAAATACAAACTGTATTTTTTTTTTCATCGCATTTGTTGGATTCATGTAGGACAAGGCATTAAAGAGATTCCATACCCGCTCTTATTGTTTTTGTCTTACAAATGTTACATATCAAATTTTAGTTCAGTAAATCATAGATTATTTCACTCTAATATTAAAGTTTACAACGCTAAATTGGTTGTACTGAACACAAATTCGGTATGTTGTATATTATTTTGTAAGACAGAAATAGCATATGATATGGCGTCTTCTTATTAATGAACTTTTAAAAAATATTTATAGTGAACATTTGTTTACAGGAAGAAATTGGAAATTTCTTAAAAAATATTTTAGAAACTTCCACAAAAATAATTCATACACCTGATGTTGAAAATAGAGATTTTAAAAAACCTGTTTTCTCCAAAACTAAACCTATCAGTAAGACAGTATAACTTTTTTTTTAATACTATTAAACTCACTGTATTTTACATAACACTCTGGTTACTAACTTGTATGTTATCTTTATATTTAACTGATAATTTTTTTTTTCTTTAAACCTCAAATTATAACTTTGAAAAGTAGATACATTTTATTTTAAAATAGGTAAACCTTTAGCACACCTCAAGAAAGGAAACAAAAAACGTATGGTTCCAGTCAGTAAAAAAACTACACAGAGACAAACGGCAAATCGCATGACTATCAAAACACCAAGTTCTCCTATGGCATCTAAAGTAATTATAAAAGATGAAGAACTTATGCCTGCTCCTTCATGTTCTCTCAGACAAGAATACAAAAATATTCAGAGTGAAAATCACAACTCTACCATAAATAGTATTCGTAAGTTATTTTAGAAAAAATTACATTATCCACAAATTTTACTTTTATAATTTTTCACGAGGAATATTGTTATCCCTGGGCTTTAGCCATGGGGAATATAGGGTATTCAATGCACCCAGCCCTCCATTTACAACATGGAAAGTATTTAAATGTATTCACAAATCTTAGAAACTACCAAAATATTTTAAAGTATAAATTTCTTTTTATGATGAACCCGCCCCAATATTAATTTTTTGTGTACTACTATAATTGCAATGGGAATTATTAAACAGATACTCAAGTCAAGATCTTATTGATCATTGTTATCAAGAATGAAGGGTTTAGTGTTTTTAATATTATTTTTATTTATTTATTTTTTAGAGATGCAAGACGAATTATTTATACCAAAATTAGAAAATCAAAAGTTTTCTATTCTAACAGAATTGTCACAGATAGAAAACAATTTAAATACCAATCTTTATCAAAAAGGTATGTTCCAGCTCAATACTAATACATATTAGTGTTGAGTTGTGTGTATTTTATATTTTCATCCACTAATGATCTATTTTTCTCCAAAATACCATAGCTTCATCTTTAACATCCATGAATGGTTCACCTGTAATGTTCACACCAGACCAAAAGAATATTGTAGCATGCAGTTCAAATTTACAGTCACTACATAATCAGACTGCTACTTCTGTTATGGAAGAAATCACACCTGAACAAATATTGAATATGCCAATAGTCTTTGCAGATGATCCCCAAATAGAAGAAGAAGTAAAGCATAGTGTTGATAACAGTTCCGATTTAATTGCGAATTTAAAAGAATTTAATGAAGGGATAGTGATTGTCAAAAAAAACCCTGTAGATGAAGACGAACATTGTGATGTCTTGTGTCCTACTATTTCGAGGACTCTGATTCCCGAACGTCTAAAAAATAAACAGGTATGCATAATAATTAGTAATTACATCACAAGACTTGAGCTGAAATATTCTAAATAACGATGTAATGTGCTCTTAAAAATATTCATGATATAAAATATCATAATTATCTCTGAACAACATATAAACATATAGTTTTTATATTTTATAAATTATACAGTTTTTCAATTTTCCAGGTGACATATGACTCACCTTCTAAAGTCAAGATGGTAATAAAAAAATCACCAAAAGGCCTAGTACCCTATGGTTACAAAACAATCTCTGTACCCAGTCAAAATTCAGGAAATATTCAAATTAGAAGAACTGAAGGAGGATTAATTTCTAAGGTTGTACCAAAAACTAGCTGAAATATTCTAAATAACGATGTAATGTGCTCTTAAAAATATTCATGATATAAAATACCATAGTTATCTCTGAACAACATATAAACATATAGTTTTTATATTTTATAAATTATACAGTTTTTCAATTTTCCAGGTGGCATATGACTCACCTTCTAAAGTCAAGATGGTAATAAACAAATCACCAAAAGGCCTAGTACCCTATGGTTACAAAACAATCTCTGTACCCAGTCAAAATTTAGGAAATATTCAAATTAGAAGAACTGAAGGAGGATTCATTTCTAAGGTTGTACCAACAACTATCACGATCAGTAACACACTAGACAGTAAAATCAAATTTATCAAAAGTACTACTGGATAACAAATACATTTGAATAAAATTAAAATATTGGCGACCACACAAAAGCTTAAGAAAATTATTTAATATCAAATTTTAAGACTAAAGTGATGAAGATGCACACACACAACCTTCACAAGCTACAGTTAACAAAAGCAAATGAAATATTTATATTTATGTTTTTAATATATAATATTATATATTATTGATGTATTATACAGTAGACGCCGCTTATAAGACTCACTTTGGGACCAGCACAAAGTGAGTCTTATAAGTTATAACCGAATGAATCTTATAGGCGAAGTGGAAAAAAAAAATTAATTTCGTATTTATAAATTTTATTTTACTACATATTTTGCTTTGATTTTCATACTTTAACACATATTTCATATTACATACCTTATTATTGTATAAATTTAATAATCCTGATAAAAAAAAAACTAAAATTATAATAGGTAAATATTACATATAAAAATATTATAAAAATTATACATTAATAAAAAATTATAAAGGATGTATGTACATATTATAATGTATTTATTATTTATTTTTATTATACGTTATAAGGTACCACCAGAAACTAGAAATAATCAACACGAATATTATTTAATTTTTCAATACCAATTTATTTCTAAATTATAACCAAAAAAGTTTAGCATTATTATATAGGAATTAATATTGGGGTGGGTTGAATATAGATTGACCCGCCTCCTATATACGAAACTGCATATACATATACACATGAAAGGTTAGTGTTTGTAATAAAGTAATAAAAGATTATTACATTTTAAGTGCAATGATTTTTCGGGCTGAGAGACAACATTTTTTAAAGATTTTATACATAGCCATATAGGTATATATGTATAGGTATATTCAACTACTTTTAGGTGAATATACCCATACATTTATTTACCAATATACCACTATTGGTAATAAGCTTTTTGATTTAGCTACAGACCGTCACGTCTACAATTCGGACCATATCCAGACAACTATAATTCTGGAGTCCATTTCCGTTTTGGAAAATATTCATATTAGGTATAAAATAATTTCAATGTCAACATTTGAACTTACAATGAATATAAAAATAATCTCGCCGATGTATCTTTATATTTTTAAACTACTAATAAATAAACTTATGAGGAACTTTCATTACAATTTTAAGCTTTATACTTAGTAAACATTTTTTTATCGACTAAAATTTATAAAATTCAAAAAGTTCTCATAGCTCAAAAAGAGTCAATGACTCGTGGAAAATGGTAATTTTAACATTTAGTGAAAATGTCAAGTACAGGAGGTATCTACTGTTAATAGTTTTTGAGTTACACCAAATAATAAAATAATTGGTGTCGTCAAAAATTGGTTTTGCGTATGAACTAAAAATTCTCATTTTTCCTTCATTTGTTTTTTGTATTTTTTTCGACGCTTTTGAAAACTACTGAGATTTCTTCAATACACCAATTATATTCACTTTCCTATCCTAAAATATGATGAAGTAAATAATTGGAACATCTTTAGTAGCCTAAATGTTGATGGCAGAAAGAAAAAAAAACACACACAATTCACACTACTAAGAACACAGCAGCTAAGTGACACAAGTACACAGCAATATTGTCGATTTTCAGTTGTTGATTAATTTTAATATAAGTTACTCTGATCTATTTTTTAGATTATGTGATAAAATCTGGTATAACTTCACTAGTACTGACCTAAAACCTTTAACATCATTATTATTGCTGAACGTTTTTTTATCACTTTTGGGCATGAATAAAGTCACAACTCAAAATTAATTTTATATATTGAGTTATGGCATTATTCTTATTGACTTGATTCAATTTCATTTTGAGCAAAACGATACTAATTAAACATTTCTGTAGATTACCTATTCTACATTTGTAGGGATTCTTTGGCATGATTTTTTTACAAAAATTGAAAGTTTAAACTAGTTTTTAGTTAAAAATGTATAAAATATTTAATTTCTATTGCCTAAGATTTGAAAATTTAAAACAAGATTTAGTTCAAATCATTGTAACCTGAAAAACTAAAATAATATTTATAATCACAGTTTTTTTTATAGATACCTATTTTAAACTACATATTTAAACGAAGAATACCGATTTGAGTTATTTTGTTGTAATTTAAAATTTAAAATTAGTACCTTTGGTACCTACGTGAAACCTTTAAAATATATTATAATAGTTTATACACTGCATAATTACATTTTCAAATGTAATTTTTTCGGAAAAAATGTAATTAACCTACTGTAGTATTACCTGATTCCTAATAGGTAGTAAAAGAAATTATTTTAATCACAATAAATAATAATATCATAGGACATAGTATTACTTAGTTATATTACAGTTATATGAGTTTTAGTTATATGATACACAATCCTCTGCCATATGCCTAGTTTTAGTTAAAATAAGAAAATCAATTGCTTTATATTAAGAATATATTTCTAACAGTAAAATTAATTCATCAAAATTAGCTTTAATAGTACAAATAGTTAATTAAGTTAAAAAATATTAAAGATACATAGCCACGCTTATTTTAGATTCTGAGTGTAACGATGAATGTATTGATTTTACAATGCAGATGTGTGTTTTTTTAAGTTTTAATTTTTATTTGTGTCTTTCATCACCTTTTAGGACAGTAAAATTGCTTGGATTTTCTTCAACAGTATCTTTTCTGATAGGAAAGTGAATCTAGTTGGTACTTGGGGGGGGGAGAGGGATAATGAAAGATACATTGAAATACATGTAGATACATAAAAACTACACTGAATGTTTATATTAGCATTTTCTATACACCATACAATATTTTGACTCTTTTTGAGCTGTTTACGGACATTTACAGTTTTCAATTTTTTTAGTTTTTTATTCTATAAATATCCATAAAATTCTATTCGTTGGTTAAAAAAGCTTGAAAATTTAATAGAAGACTCCTATTATATTGTTTTAAAGGCAGATGAAAAATATTAAAAACCCACTGTCACAATTTTTTTTATAAGCATTTAAAGTTCTAATATTGACAGAAAACGGAAAAATCACGAAAATTAGCAAATTATTTTGAGTTACGAATTCATAAAAAAATTTTTTTTTAAATCTAAGATTTTAAAATGTAATACAAGATTCCTTATAAGATTATCTACCTTTATCAAAAAAAAAATTCTATAAGAAAGTCAAATTAAATTTTTATGAGCGAAATTCAAATTTTTACAAAATTGGATATTCACTCGATTTCTCGTGTAGTGATTTCCTTATTTTGTTGTAATTCAAAAACGAATGACTGTAGATACATGGAAATTTCACTGAATATTTGTATTAGCATTTCCTATACACCTTACAATTTTGAAAATATTTTGATTCTTTTTGAGCTGTTTACGGATATTTTCATTTTTCAATTTTTTTAGTTTTTTTTCTATGAATATCAATAAAGTTTTATCTGTTGGGCCAAAAAGTGTAAAAATTTAATACAAGGCTCCTGATATATTGTTACAATATCAGTAGAAAAATATTAAAAATACATGGGCACAATTATTTTTTATAAACATTTAAAGATCGAATTTTGATAAAATTTAATTATTATTTTGTAGTTAAAAATTTATAAAATGTTCAACTTCTATATCTCAGGATTGAAAATTTAAAACATGATTCCACGTAAGTAGTTGATTCTGTTACCAAAACAACTAAAAAATACACAAGCATAGTTTATATTTATAGTCATTTTAAGTTCAAATTTGGACGAAATTACATATTAAAATCAATATTAACGATTTTAGTTATTTGTTGTAATTTAAAAATATTATTCTTGGGTACTTGAAACTTCTAAAGTACACTAAAGTACACTATTATATATCTATGATAGTATCAGGGCTTGTTGTTGATGTATAACATGTTATAAGTACCTATTGGATATTGTGATATGATTAATTTGGAATTTATTATAGGTACCTATAATAGGTCAATTTTTTTAATACCATAGATAAGTATATGATATGTCTTATACGTATAGACTGACATACCGTCTCCGCTCAGAATCGTTTTTCTTATACAAGGATATTATATAAATGAATTCAAAGTTAATACCATCCATTATACAATGACCCACTTGTAACCTACTGTACAGCAGAGCACCTTTTTTGTTTTTTTCATTACATAACAAAGGAAAAAAATCGATAATCAGCGATACTTACTCAAGCAATCCATATTAATATTAATACAATAATACATAGCTGATAAGGTTAATAATGCCATGGTTATCTAACAAATTATCAAGATATTAATTAAGATCATTTAGATATAGGTATATTTATTTGAATTAATAAATGATTATCTTTTATTAGGTAGGTACAGAGAATGGCATTATCAATTTTTTTGTATACTCGACGTCATTGCCTGATAGCTTACGAAATTAACCTAGCAACTTGGCTTATAAAGTTAATGACCGGTTAATGAAGTAAATTTTCGTCATTGACCATCACTTAAATGGCCCAAATATATGTGAATTATAACTGTTTAAATGGTCATGATATGTGAATTGTAAGCATATAAAAATATCAAAATAACAAACATACTTTTGAATAATGTACTGACAAAATATATTATTCGTTTAAACTGTTAAAAATCTAATACATTTTTTTTCAAGTAATTTGAAAATTTCGTTAATTTTACTACCCAACACTGCAACTTACAACTAAGCTCATGATCAGAACAATAGATCTTGAAATAACAAAGATATATAAATTATGAAATATGTAACTTATGAGTTATGAATAATTATGTGATATCAACCAATAAAATAAATTGGTGGTTGAAATGTCAGGTGCAGAGTCTGCACCTGTAGGCCAGCCAATGCTTACACTTAAACGGACATTGTTTCCACAGCCTGTAACACCCAAAAAGAGTTGAACAATCAACATATTTTTCCTAACAACGCCGGGTAATTCAGCTAGTATATTATAATTAAAGATCAGATTTAACAGACATAATAGATTTGAGATTTCAAAAAAAAATTATGTTTTT